TCTCCTTATTTATCCTTCTTCTCAATCCCTTGTCCTTGCTCTCTTCTCATCCTGCTCTTTTCTTTCTCCTTCATTTCCTCCCTTTTTCTCCCCTATTTTTTCCCCCATTTACCTTTGTTGCAACTGAGGTTTTTATTAAACCTCTGAAATGTTTCAGACATATTAAAAAAAGTACAGTAAATCATATAGCAGACATTATCCACCATTGAAATTAAGCAGATGTTAACCTTTTTGCAATATTTAGTTTACTTCTTAATTTTTTGACAAGCAGGCAGAAGAGCAGGGATTCTTGACTCTTGTTCATTGAGTTGTTTTTTTTTTTCTCGTGGATTTATGGAATTTCACCCTAAGTATATGGAAATTAATATGAAGTCAAAGACTCAAGTGGACTCCTCCGTAGCTGTTTGGAGCTGTTGTCTGCAGAACTTCCTCCTTTCTGATACATTATCTAGAAATTTTTGCCACCTATACCTTTCTGAACTCCTATCTTTGTCTTTTCAAGTTAGTGAGACTGCTAAGCTCTGCTTTGAATCTCTGCTTGCAGTGGTGTCCAGAACATGTTTCTTGGCAGAAAGTCAAGGTGCTTACAGGGCTTACCTAGCTTGCTTCCTTTTTTCAGGGAACACAGATCTACACTAATTGTTGTCCAATGTCTAGAAAATGTTGTGTTGTATATTTTATCTAGTTCCGCAGTTGTTTACTGTCTGAGGGTAAATTTGGTACCAGTTACTCCATAATGGCTAGAAGTATAAATCCTATACTAATAGGTTATTGTATAGGGGAGGGAGGTTGGTAAAGACTTTTGGGTGAAGTTATAGGAAGGAATCACTATGAGCCTTGCTGATTTTATAGTTAATGGAATTGAATATTTAAGGGCCCTGGAAGTATTTGACTTGGGAGTGGTTTGTCCTTTTAAGTAGATCTATCAGATGAGATTATATAAATCATAAAGTACTATATAAATGTGCTAATTATTTTGATTTAGAGTAATTTATTGAAAGTTCTTATAGACTGTTCTATCTTAGGTAGACTTTTGACTCTTGGAGTTTAAAATGAAAATAGTGGATTGCTGTGGAGGAGTTGGAGTTGGTGACGATGCTTCTATGTTATTTCTAATAAGCAAAAATTGATTTCAGTAGGCTTTGCTGTCATTGGAGAAAGATAGCTTCTCACAATCAATAATAATGTTAATCTGAGAATAAGCTCATATTGTAACGGCAGTAAAGTAACTGGCAGAAAGACATTTCCATAGAATGTATTGTGCCTCTATATTATTCTTGAGTTTTTGTACTCAGTGACTTGCATATACATACTCAGTGAACATTTGGTGTGTGACTTGAACATACATACTCAGTGAATACTGAGGTACGAATCTTTATGAAGAAAATTTGCTTGTCAGTCAATCATAATGACTACCTTCTGTGATTCAGAAATGGTCCTAGATGATGGAGAAGCAGCAACAAAAGAAGTAGGAGATAGGATCCCTAATCAGAAGACTAAACAAGGTAGCACATATATAAGGCAGCAAAATATTCTGGCAAGGACTAATGGAGTACAGAATGATTATATCAGCTGTCAGGGAGAAATGGAGGGGCTGGATTTTGAGAAAGTGGACAGATGTGCATTAGTTGACAAAGAGGATAAGGGAGAAAAAAATCCCTATTGTAAAGAGAAGGAATGGTGTGTTGCAGGGTGACAACTGAGAATGACAAAATTGTTCTGTGGAAAGCAAGCAAATTAAGTCAACTTGAATGAAAGTTTATGTAGAAGATAGTAGAAATTAGATTGTACAGCTAATTGGGGTGTTAGAGATATAGAAGATGTTGAGTGTTAATGTGAGCAGAGAGACATTTCATATTGCCCTATAGGTTAAAAAGTAATCAAAATGAGAGAATTTCATGTTCACAAAACAAGTGTTATAGATACTGACTTATTTTAAGATGAACTATGAAGCAAATTAAGACACAGAATATTACTGCATGAGTGTAATTTGCAAAATGAAAATCCATTCCTTTATTGGGATTTGAAAAGTACTGCTTCCATAATAAGTGAATATACAAACATTTTACATGTCATGACTGGCTACATAAGGGAAGAAAAAGGGGATTTTTAAGAAAGTACATAGTAATGCTAACTGAAAGTACATAGTAATGCTTTGAGTAAGGCTGAATTTCATCTTTTTCTTTTATTCCAGGTTCCTGCTTTTGCTAAGAGAGCACCCATGACCCCGATGGTATTTTCACTCAAGATAAAGTGTGCTATTGCCTTTATTGATTAACTGAACAAATTCAGGTTAGTACATTTTGTGGATAGCACTTCTCTGTTCAAATTATGTTAGTATTTTGAGAAATGAATAATTTTGTGTTTGAAGCTATATATTTATGTACTAGTGAAGTAGAAAGCCCAAGTCAATCTAAACTCTGTTGAATCGTGTGTTAAACACTTCTGACTACCTACTATGTACAGTATGAATTTTCATAAGATGAAAAATGTTTTACTTTCTATTTAATAGTTCTGTACTTTAAAGTTAGGGGCTGGATAAAACAAGTTATAGCTGAATATGATACATTGTACTTTTGGCATCATATGGCATATTTGTGCTAAAAATAACTCATCTTAAAATTTTTGACAGTAGCTGACTTTTAAAGGTTTCATTCTTGTCAAGATTTCAGTCATATATTAAAATTTTTCTTTATTTGTTTTTAGTGTTCAGCCTAGGAGTTTTGACAAATATATATTCAACATTGATAATCTTCTAAATTGACTCATGTTGCTTCTGGAGTCAGCCTCTCCCTTCACCTTAATCCCAAGCAACTACTGATGGTTTTGCCCCTGTAGTTTACCTTTTCTAATATTGAATTTAAATGGAATTGGTTAGTATGTAGCTTTTAAAATCTGGTTTCTTTCGCTTAGTATAATGCATTTGTATTGATCCATGTTGTGTGTAACAGTACTTTTTTTTTTTTTTTTGCTGAGTAATGTTCTGTGTGGGTATTCTATAGTTGGCATTATCCATTCACTAACTGATAGAGATTTGGGGTGTTTTCTAGTTTTTGGTGATTATTGCAATCATACTTTCTTCTTCTTTCTTTATTGTGATAAAATACACACAACATAAACTTTACTATCTAAGCTTCTAATTTCTTATCTGTAGAATGAACATAAGAATATTTATTCCAAGGGTTGTAATGAGGATTAAGTAGAATAAATTACATAAAAGTATGTAACAGTAGAGTTTGGCATTTAATAAATGTTTGTCTATTATTTTTTTAAATGACTAGTGGAAACTTTACTTTTTGATTACCTATTCCCCTAGTGATTCTGTATGGACAGAGAAGTAGTGTACACATTTACCTTGGAATCCATCAGGAAAATAAAAACGTAGCAAAATCCTGCTGTGTTGACCTGGATCTTTTCACAGTTTGAAAGAAAGTTAACCAGGCCACTGTCAGTGTATGACTATTAGAAAATACATGAAAAGGCTCTGAAGGAGAGTTCTAATTTGGGGAAGTATGGTAGAATTTTTTATAGGGTGTTAGCAGGAGGGGTTGGTCAGTCATAGTTCAGCTAATTTGGGGAAAAGTTGGTCAATGATGGTCGTGAGAGAATTGATCTTGTAGATTAGCAGCCATTAGGCAATTTGGATTTAATCAAGAGGGTTGGGGAGTAGCAGCTGTGGGGAGCAAGGACATGAGAAGGGCAATGTAAAAAATTCTCAGGATTTTAGTGTCATCACAGATTTTTTTTTTTAAATCATTGGCTCATACAGTCTTCTTCCAACCACTTCCCTAGCCTTTCCTCCAAGTAGAAATGCTCTTTATCCTGGTCATGATTTAGACTGCTTCTAGCTCTTGATCTCACAAGGCAATATCTTTATGAACTTCAAAGAACAAGGAATTACATATTTTGTAATGCATTGTGTTTAGAACCCTGTTATGTAGATAGTCTGTAGTAGAGGAAACAGTAATGTATGACAGTGAAAAGCTTCAAAGTAGAAATATGGCTGGGAAGGAGATTAGAATAGGAATTTGCAGTAGCTGTTTTAGTTGATGACATATCTTCAACTTTAATTGCAATTGACTTTTTCAGTTTTGCCTCATCCTTTGGTGATGATTCTAGTAGAAGTCAAATGAGATCATTTTTGATAGCTGGTTTGCAAACTTTGGTGTCTGCAGCCAACCTTCCAAAGCCTACCTGTGCTTTTCAAGGAGAGAGCTAAGCTTGGGATGGAGTGGATCAGCTATTCTCTTGTATTTTTTTTTTTTAATTAAAAATTATTGGGATGACATTAATAATAAAATCAAATAAGTTTCAAATGTACAATTCAACAGTATGTGTTTATCACCCAGTTAGATTTCCTTCCATCACCAAATGTTTGACCCCTTTTATCCCTATCTACTTCCCCGTCTTCCCTTTTTAATGCATTACTGGTTTTTAGCAGCTAGTGTTTAACACTGCTCATTCTTGACTTTGGTAAATTGTTTTGTCTGTGCTTCATGTGATTTCTTTGCTTTTATGAGGTACTTTTCGACTAGACCTAATCTCTTGTAGATAGAATCTATGCTTTGAAATTAAATGATCCTTGTCCTCTTTCAATACGTAAATCCTTTTATTATCTGCTAGTTTACCTCTTGCTTTGTGGCTCACTGTGCTCCTCTAGCAATGCTTGCTTAGCTTTTAATTTAAACACAATTAGTTAGCATTCATGGAAGACATTGGCCTGTGCAGAAATTAGAAAAATATGAATATTTGGCCACCACATTTAGGATTATTGAGGCATTTCTTTCCATCTTTTTAGAATATAGAAAAAGAGGTGAGTTTCTTATTTTTTCCTAATCAAGCTCACCATAGACCTTGTTCTTTTTAAACCAGCTTGAATGAAAAAAAGATATATGAAGGGTAGTATATCTGCTTTTTCTATATGTATATAATTATCGTAGTTATGGAAAATATATCTGATTTACTGCGAGGCTCTCAAGGTAAATGGGTCAGATAGAATTAATATTTTAGTATTGTCTTACGTAATTAAGTATTTTCTGTAAATTATGAGAAAGTTATTTGTTTTTTTTTGTTCTGTAAAATATTACAAAAATTTCAATAACGTTGCTTTCTCTTTTTGATATTTAGAGGAAGTTAGAGAACAGATTTACCTACCACTAAATAGTCTGTCACTGGCAAGAACTTATTCTTTGTAATATATTACTTTGCTCCTTAAACCTCATTTTCTTCCATTTGTAACATTTGGTAATGTGAAGCAAACGTTACTATCCTAGCTTTCTTTAATATTCTGGGAAGTATCTTTAAATCTTGGGAACTCTTAAAGTCTTCTTTATCCTTTTTTATCTCTTCTCAAGAAAGTAGTATCTTCATGTACTCTTGATGTTTTTATAGAAATTCCTTCTACCCATAAATAGAAATTAAAACATGCGACGTAAAATTTCAGCTTTAGGATAGTTTTTAAATTAACAAGCTGGTTATTTAAAAAGTTTCATAGATATGTGATTTTTTTTCACTTTTTTTTGGCTTTATTGAGATATAATCAACAAGTAAAATTGTAAGATATTTAAAGCGCACTCCGTGGTATACATTGTATACATTGTGAAAGGATTCCCACCATCTAGTTAATTAACATAGCCATCACCCCACCTATTTATCTTCTTTTGTGTGTGTGTGAGAACATTTAAACTCTCTTAGCAAATATTAAATATATAAAAACAGCATTATCAACTACAGTAACTATGTTTTACGTTAGATCCTCAGATTTTATTCATCTTAAGCTGAGAAAGTTTGTTCCCTTTTACCAACCTTTTCCTATTTCCCCCACTACCCAGTCCCTGGCAACCACTTTTTTACTTTCTGTTTCTGTGAGTTTGACTTAAATTTCCCTTTTTTTCAGATTCCATGTATAAATGATACCATGTAATATTTGTCTTTGTCTGACTTATTTTACTTAATATAATGCCCTCAGGGTCCATCCATGTTGGCATTTTCATCTTTCTCATGGCTGAATAATATTTCATTCTCTGTCATATCTTCTTTATCCATTTGTGTGTTGATAGACACTTAGATTGTTTCCATATCTCGGCTATTGTGAATAAAGCTGCAGTGAACATGGAAGTGTAGATATCTCATCGAGATCCTGTTTTCATTTCCTTTGGATATTAACCCCAAAGTGGGATTTCTAGATCATATGATAGTTCTAGTTTTAAATTTTTGAGGAACCTCCGTACAGTTTTCCATAGCCGCTGCATCAGTTTATGATGCCGCCAATAGTGCACAAGGGTACCCTTTTTACCACATCTTTGAAAACATTTGTTATCACTTGTCTTTTTGATGATAGACATTCTCACAAGTGTGAAATGATATCTCATTGTGGTTTTGATTTACATTTCCCTGATGATCAGTGATGTCGAGCACCTTTTCATGTACCTGACAGCGATTTGTAGGTCTTCTATGGAATAATGTCTATTTTAAATTGGATTTCTTTCTATTGAGTTGTATGAGTTCTTTGTATATTTTGGATATTAACTCCTAATCAGATATATGATTTGAAAATAACTTCTCCCATTCTGTAGATTGCCTTTTTATTTCGTGGGTTTCCTTTGCTGTGCAGAAGCTTTTTAGTTTGATGTAGTCCCATTTGTTTATTTTTGCTTTTACTTTTGGTGTATCCAAATCCAAAAATTCATCGTTAAGACAAGGAGCTTACCCCCTATGTTTTCTTCTAGGAGTTTTATGGTTTCTGGTGTTATGTTCAAGTCTTCAGTCCATTTTGAGTTGATTTTTGTGTGTCATAAGATGGGGTCCAGTTTCATTTTTTTTTTTTTTTTTTTGCCTATGGCTGTACATTTTTTTAGCACCATTTATTAAAGGGACTATCCTTTCCCCTTTGTATATTTTTGGCTCCTTTGTCATAAATTAAGTAGCGACATATGCATTGGTTTATTTGTTTGCTCTCTATTCTGTTCCATTGAGCAGTGTGTCTTTTTATGCCAGTACCATACTGTTTTGATTACTATAGCTTCGTAACATTGTTTAAAATCAGGAAGTATAATGCCTCAAGCTTTCGTACTTCTTTCTCTAGATTACTTTGGTCTTTTGTGGTTCCATACAACTTTTAGGATCGTTTGTTCTATTTTGAAAAATGCCAGTGGAATTTTGATAGGGATTCCATCGACTCTATAGATTTCTTTGGGTATGGACATTTAAACAATATTCTTCCAGTTCATGAGCATGGATTTATTTGTTCTTTCCATTTATTTGTGGCTTCAGTTTCTTTTATCAATGTCTTT